TAGTAATCATCTTAATATTTAATACCCTTTTCAAAGTAATTATTAAAAAATATATAATTCTTGTTATAAAATATTCAAAAAATTACAAATACAATACTTCATACCAATCACACAAAGGCAACTAGCTAGGAAAGCTAACTCACTTAAAATAACGTACTTTAAACCCCACATTAGGAAACCTAACTCATATGTTTTTGGAAGTCATGCAGCTTGTGGTTTCAAAATAATGCTGCTTCGAAACCTCCACATCATTTTGAAAACAATGTTGTTTTGAGTGTAGACTCCTAGTAATTTTTAGTAGCACATACTGATACTAATTTTGTTAAATGGAAGGCTATATAAAATAAGCCTTCTATTTCTCAATTTTCTTCTCATCATCTTAAGACCTAAACTCAATAATTGGCACATATATTTTAGAAGGAAGATGTTATAAAGATAATATTTTTATATTATTTTTTTATATAATTTTTACATATTATTAAATAAATAGATGTATTTAATATTATAAACTCCACATAAATTAAAAAAATTAATCATTTAAATGACACATCAGATTATATTAAAAAAGTGATATATAAAGGTTATTCCAAAATTATTTCGCATTTTAGAAATGCCAAGTTCTTAAGCTCCCGATAAAATATCCATTGAGAATTTTAGTTCAGAGTTAATAGCGTGTTTGGTTGGGGTAAATTTTTTTTTTATAATATTATTTATGTATTTCACGTATTAATATTGTAATAAAGTATATTAAAAGTGATATTTTAAATATTTATTTTTTTAACACAATTTTAAATATATAAAGTTTTCTTTTCATTTATTTTGAAAGGAAATATTTTTCTACAGTTTTTTTATATTCAGCCTATTTAACAAGTTTTTGTACTATTTTTTTTCTATATCAATTTTTTTACAAAATATAACAAAACTAATAATCTAATAAAATTTCAACAAAACTTAACAAATTTCTAAATAATATTTTTTAACTTTGTGATATAATAATTTCTTAATTACTTTTCAAATAAATTTTTTTAATAAAGCACCTTTTATCCAAACAAGTGGTAAAGGTTTAGGTAAATGTGGAAGTGTACTTTTATTATTTGGAGTGTGATGACTAATACACATCGCAGTTCCTCACCTTTCGTTGCTTAATCTGTTAACTTCATTATTTAATCCGTTAAATTGAAGACACTCAGCTTGCTGTTCGTCTTTTCTCTCAAAAATCTCCAACCCCTGCTCCTCACCTCCTCTGATTCTTTCAATTTTTCACTCAAAAATCCAACCCCTGCTATTGGGCCTCCCCTTTGCAATCATCTCCATCTTTGCAATCATCTCCATCTCTTTCTTCACCCTTTCTGCAATCGTCTCACGCCACCGACCTAACTTTGCTGCTACAATTCATCATCTTCGGTAAGTGCTTTGTTGGGTCTTTTTTTTTTTTTTTTTTTTTTTTTTTAGTTTTCAATGTAAATTTCTCAAGATGAAATTGATGGGAACAATTGCGATTCTTTCAATTTTCACTCAAAAACACAGCCCTTGCTGTGGCCCCCTCTGCAATCATCTTCATCTCCTTTTTCATAAATCAAAAAAGAAATTCATTGAAGAGAAAATATTTTCCAAATTTCAAGACAAACAAAACAGCAATAAAACATCATCATAAAAGATCCATCCCATAACATGTTAAAATACTAACTTAAATCAAGTTTAAATAGATAGCAAAACAAATTTCATCAAAGTTTCTGTCATGATCAAAGATTGGGTTCTCTAAGAACCTAGATTGGGCTCTCTAAGAACCCAAACCGTTTCTCTTAGAGAACCAGACCTGGGTTCTTCTGAAGAATCCAGACCTAGGTTCTCTTGGAGGAGGATGACGGAGGAAAGAGAGAGAAAAAAAAAAAAAGAAAAAAGGAAGAAGATAATGGATGGAGAGGATGGTAACAGAGTTAAGTTAAATGTAATTAACAAAAAATAATAGAAATTGAGGGGTATAATGAAATGTGTAAATAAATTGAGTAAAACTACCATTATCTTTACTTGGAATCACACTCTAGGCGTAACCCAAACCACAACTGTCCAAAAAAAAAAATAATAATAAAACCATTGAGATACCTTTCTGGAGTAATAATGACTTTATTTTCGTGGCAATAATTTTGCTGAATTGGCGTATTGCTTAAAAATTCTTTATTTATGATTAAAATCACAATTTCAAATAATTTTAATGGTGTAATTATAATATTATATGAAGTTGTAAATTATAATTTTATAATTATAATGTGATATTAAATGAATATAATATAATATTAAATTATTAAATATATAATATTTTAAATAAATTTTTAAATAAAAAAAAATTAATTATATGAAAAAGGAACATATTACTCAAAAGAATTAAAATCTCAATTAGTAAATTATTCATTTCATTTCATTTAATT